GGTGGTGGTGGTGCTTCCCTTGTTGGTATTTTGGCTTCTTTTGCGGGGGGGGAGATGCACGCCTCCCTCTGCTGTGTGAGTGGGTGGGTGCCTGCTTGCTTCGCACTGTTGTTGTTGGCGTGGTGTTTGGGCTCTTGGGGGATGTGCGGCCACGCGCGCAGGTTTGTGGATGGGCAAAGTGGGTCGGGCGAGCATGTCTGGGCGGCGCTCGATAACACGCTTGGCAAACAAACACAAGGAAAGCAAACGAAGGAAGCAAACAACAAAAAAACATGAGAGCGTGGTGTGCGGCACACAGGGCACAAGGAAAGAGGGATAGGGCGCAGAGAAGAAGAGGGACAAAAAATGATGGATGGAGAGGAGGGAGAGCCTGTATTGGTGTGTGGGTGTGTGTGGAGTGGTGACGGCGCCAGCGACTATAATAACACTAATAAAAGTAATGGAAGGGGCATGCGAGGTGTGGGGTGGCCAACAGAGTGGCTGAAATAAGAGCCGCAGCTGCTGCTGCTACATGTGTGTGGCGCAATGGGCTTTGAAGGACTTAAGTGTGAGGAGGACGGTGCTCGGTGTTAAGGAGGTGGGGGAGGAAAAGAAAAATATACGCATTTTGACTGGGTGGGAGACAAGGACGACGGAGGAAAAGAAAAAGGAAAAAATGAGCTTGGCAAACAAGGCGAATAAGTGACTGACGTGAGAGGGGAATACAAATCGTTTGGCGCAAGAATAATAGATCTACGAGAACCTCACGTTTCTCTAGAAATTTTTAATTATATGTCTTTCTGCGTGCGTGCGTTTGTGTGTGTGTGTGTGTGTGTGTGTGTGCAACATCCCTCATTGAATGTTGCTCATCATGTCCCGTGCTGTGGGCGCTTGAAAGGTTCGTTGTGGCGATGCTCTTACCGCATCGTGTTTCTTCTTCTACACATCCACCTTCGCCTCTTCCTGTGGCTGCGGCTGTTGATGGTGGTATGCTCTTTCTCTCTTCTTCAGTATGCCGTGCCACTACAAGCGCATACATACACACACACACTCTCTCTCTCTCTTTCTCGGGATATATAAGTTATTTCTCTCCTCTGCAGTCACTGAGTCAGCACAGGCCAGCGTTTTCTATCCCTATTGTCACCCACGCACTCATTCAATCATTCATTCGTTTTGGTTTGTGCGTGTTTCAGGTCACGTCGTTTCTAAAGCCTTTTATTATTATTATTATTACTATTGCTCATCTTCCGGTGCATGTGTGTGTGTGTGTATTTGTGCACGTGCGTGCTTGTTTTTGTGCCTTCTGCTGGTTCTCCTTGCTCTCCATGTGCCGTGCGCGGCGTGGTGAGAGGGCACTCCAACACTCTCCTCTCTCGTCCCTGACGTCTTGCTGCCCGCTTAGGTAACGTGCGTGCCATTCCACACCGCGGGATATTCGCACAAACGCACACAACGTATAGAAGGAAAGGCAAGAATCACACAGCACAGGCACCCGTTCCGTCACACTTGCACGTGCGATGTCGAAGGCGCTTCCGCCCATCACGACGGCGTCGCGCGGCCGCCAGTTACAGCAGCCCACCCCACTCTCGCCCACGGACGGGCAGTACCAGCTCACCACGACAATGAAACAGCGCTCCACCAGCCGCCGCGTTGGCGTGGAGGTGGAGTTCTCGCTCGGACCTGTGCAGGAGCGCTACCTGCCGCCGTACAACGACCTTGATGACCCGCACCTCGCGCCGTACTGGGCGCGCCGGGAGATGATGATCCGGGAGGCCGCCGAGCGCCGCCACGAGATGCAACGACAGCGACGGCTGGAGCGGCAGCGGCGTGAAGCAGCGCGGCGGAGGTTTGAGCAGCGCCGCCAGCGCGAGCTGGAGGAACTCTCTGCGCGCAAGGGCTACCTCACGCAGCGCCGGGCTGCAGAGGAAGAAGAGGAGGAGGACGCCCACCACACACGCCACACTGCGGACGGCCAACACGGCGTGAAGAAGCAACATCCCCATCCACCGCCAAGCAAAGGTGCCGCTGGTGACCAGCGAAGGCGGCGGCGCTACGAGGCGGCCGCATGGACATCTTCTTCGGGCTCTGCTGCTGCCGATAACGGCAGGNCCCGCCGATCTTCGCCACAAGCGCCCGTGAAGGAGGCGGCAGCAGCGGCACCACCACCACAAGCAGCAGCAGCAGCAACAGCAGCAGAAAAGCCTGCAGAAGAGAAAAAGTCACCCGCGATGTTGCCCTTATCATCCAGCTTGTCTTCGCCCTCATCATCACATCGGGAGTGGCACGAAGAGGCAGAAAAACCGGTGGAAAATATGACAGTTGCGCAGCAACAGCCCGAGACGAAGGCGGAGGCGCCGAGCGATTCGTCGTCTGCGGCTTCTCGTTCCTCATCTTCGTCGTCGTCGTCGTCATCATCGTCGTCGCCGGTACGGGATGAGCAGGGTAGGGAACCCCATCGGGTAAAGGACACAAGGTCAGACGAGGGCCAGAGTGACGACAATGCCTCTGACAAGCCGCCCCGGTCCGAAGAAAACTCACCGAAGCCTGCGGATGCTGATCCGAAGATGGATGCCGCTTCCGACGATGAATACAGGGATGATGACTTCGAGGCATCCGAGGCGTCAGAAAAGGAGCTCGATGAGCCGGACGCCAAGCCGCTCGATGCAGAGGGTGTGGAGGAGCCGGAGCAGCACTCCGATGAATACAAGGATGATGACTTTGAGGCATCTGAACCATCACCCAAGAGGGAGGAGCCCGTGGAATCACTGCACGCTGAAGCGGAAAAGGAGGCGGAGGAGTCGGAGCAACACTCTGAGGAATCCAAGAATGATGAATACAAGGATGATGACTTTGAGGCATCCGAGCCATCACCCAAGGAGGAAGCAGTTGTGAATCCTCCGAATGCGCAAGCAGATGAGTATGTTGATGACTTCGAGTCACCCGCACAAGCAGCGAAGGAAGACGTCTCTACGAAAGACACCGGCTCCAGCAAGAGCAGTAGAAGAAGCAGTGGCAGCTCCACTGCAGTGAAGAGTGAGACGCCGGCCTCGACACACGAATTGGATGAGGTGCCTGAAGTGGCAACAGGCAGCCAAAACAATAATGCTGTGGACGACCTTGTGAAGACGGCGTCCTCTGCCTCCAGCTCATCGTCGCCCTCCTCTGCTTCCGTGAGTGACGCGAAGGAGCTCAGCGAGTCTGACGTGGCGAAGACAGAGGAGGTGGCTAATGAAGACGACGAGTTGTAGGCAGTAACATTCTGCTCGCGTACAGAAGAGGTGGGGTAAGGGGTACGGATCGGTGTTAATGTTGATGTCGCGGGCCGCACCGGTGCAGTAGCGGCAACAGCAGCGTATACCGATGAGAATTCAGTACGACGCGATTTGAACAGGAATTGAGGATGAGGGAGGGTACGCATGAATGTGGATTTGCCACGAAATGAGAGCTGCAGGTAATAAGGCACGAGAAAATGGGAGATTGAGGGAAGTGGATAGCACCACCCCGCAGATGCTAAGTGCTGCATGATCTCGCGCCTCTTTCCTATCTTTGTGGGGTGCCGGTTCGTTTCGGTTTCCTGCATGCTTGCTCGTGACTATCTGCTGTGTGTGTGTGTGTGTGTGTGTGTTCTGTTTTCGTTGTTACTTTTCCAGGAAGGGACAGGGGTGTGTTGGAGGAAGACACAATTGGAAACTGGTTGAAACGAGAATGATATATATATATATATATATATATATATTATTGGTAGCAACAGAACCGAGAACGAAGCGAATAATGCGAGGGGAATGGGGGTGCAGTAGAGAAGGCATCGGTCACAATACATATTTCTCCTTTTAGTTTCACATACGCGCACTCATGGACAATTACTCAGACACCCGCCACGATCATCCATCACTCTTATAATGCGTGCGTCTGTCTGTATTCAAGCAACATATGTAAATGTACGTGTTTCTCTGCATGGTAGCAGTACCTGCAGCAGAAGTTGGAGGGAGGCGCATTATGTTGAAATCAGCAGGTATGTATATAGTTGGAAGGAAGAGGGAAAGGCCGAGCGTGACAAGGAAAAGATATTTAAAACAGATGTGCGCGCGACGGCGATGGTGGTGATAGGGGTAGTAGTGGAACTGACTTGTAAACAGTTTTGCAATGCGTAAAGAGGGCCACGGGATTAGTTATGGGGAAAGAAGCAACTTAAACGTCGTTGTCTTCCAATGACATAAGATGAAAGGAAAGAAGACAATCCAGCTCCGAGGGAAAACAAAGCAAACAAAAGATATATATATATATATGCTTTGCCCCGTTTCACTCAGCCCCCATCACACCACCCACGTTGCAGCATCTCCACACACCGAGATGTTTTGTTTTTTGCTCGTTTGCCATCGATGGACCCACACGCGGACGGGGCGCGAGGTGGACACGTACGCAGGTGTATTTGATTACTGTGGCCGGTGTCCGCTCGTCCTGCCTCGTGGCGCCAGTGAGCAAGTGAGATCCTTGACGCACAACAGCAATGGAGAAGATAATGCCAGTGCGAAGGACTATGCCTGCTTGAAAAAGAGATAATGTACCAGTCTGTTATGCCCAGCCTTGCCTTCTTTCCTCTTTCTATCTGTCTATCTATATGTCTTACCCTGTCTGTGTGTATTCTTCTGTTTTTTTTTTTCTGCTTTAGTAGCATCAGCAGCGGGGTGTTTCTGTGAGCAGTTCATTGTGATCGCAAGTGGAGAAAAGGGAAAGTAAGGCTCCACTGCTGCGGCGAGTAGAGCAGAACAGACAACGAAAAACGGCAACCCGGTAGCAGCAGCGACAACAGCAACATTAACAGCAATAGGCGGAGAGAGGTCGGAGGAGAGAAAGGTGTTTCCATCTGTTTGTTGCTCCTTTTTTTCACACAGGTATAGTTGCGCACACACGGCTGGGGCGCCGCTTACGCCTTGGCTTCTTGTTTAGTACTGAAACACACGGCACCCACTCACCGGAAGCATGAGCGACGGACAACGAGATGCACCTGCAGTTGAGGGCGGGAGCGCGAAGGTTCTGGAGGGTATTCACCGCCGTCGGGAGAAGCTCGAGCTCTACCAGTCGCACTCGCACAAGATGAAGTCACTCATGATGAACAGTGCTGGAATCCGCAGTGGGATGAGCACAAAGAACGAACGCGCGTTGAACCCCATCTGGACGAACTTCCCAACGCGCTGCGTCAAGCCGATTCGCTCAGTGGAGGAGATGCGGGAAAAGCTGCAGTACTTCTCCCGGAGCAACGACGTAATGGTTGTGCGGTACCACCAGAACAACTGCACCGCGTGCAACGCCGTCGACAAGAGCTTCGAGTTCCTCTGCCACCAGAGCGCCGAACGCATGCCAAACCTCAGGTTCTACGACGTGAACAAGGACGAGACGCCGGAGCTCGCGCGTAACCTCGTGCGGTTCCCGCAGGTAAAGGGTTACAGCGGCGGTCATTGGACGGATCTCGAGTTTAAGCCACCGGCCGCCTTCCGCGAGGAGCTCTACAGCGCCGTCGAGCATGAGGTGGAAAAGCGCAAGAACGCCGGTCGCCCCGTCACGGCGCTTGAGGCGGAGGAGATGTACTTCTCTGCCGCCGGGCCGTCGATGCTGGAGGTGCTCGAGGAGTCTGTCGTGAATTTCTACGCCAAGTCGCAGGTGCGGCTGCACAACTACTGGAAACAGGTGTCGGTGCGGCGCGCGTGGTTCTTCCGTAAGTTCATCGAGCCGAAGGTTGACGAGCAGGTGCGGGACGAGTGGAGGCTGAAGTCGCTCTTCGGCGAGAAGCTCGTCTACGGCCCCGACCCCAAGCTGGAGGATTTCTAGGTGGGAAGGAGGAGAGACTCTGTGTGTGGGCGTATGTGTGTGTGTGTGTGTTGGGTGGGGGGTCTGTAGGTATGCGGCAAAGAGGAATACAAATGTCGTAGGTGTGTGAGGGACGCTGCCGTTGTGCGTTATCTCCCTCACCTCATTTTTTTTTTT